ACAGATCTATAGAGCAGGGGCAAAATGCTACCAGTCTCTTTGCTAAAGCATGGTAAGAGTGACCCTTATTCCAACTTCCAATAAGTTCTTTATCTCCACCTGAGACTTCCTCAGCCTGGACTTCACTGTCCCTCCTCCAACACTGGGGATTGCAATTTGATGTGAGATTTGGGAGGGGACACAGATCCAAACCATATCAGTGGGGGAAGAACACCATGGTGAATGGTGCTGGGAACACTGACAAGCCACATGTAGAAGAATGAAACTGGATTCTCATCTCATCATATTAAAAAATCAACTCAAGGTGGATCAAAGACTTAAATCTAAGACATGGAGCCATTCAAATTCAAGAAGATAACATTTGAAAAACTCTTCTAGACATTGGCTTAGGCAAAAAATTCATGACTAAGAACCCAAAAGCAAATGCAACAAAAATAAATAAATGAGACCTAACTAAACTAAAAATCTTCTGTACAGTAAAAGAAATGATCAGCAGAATAAACAGACCACTCACAGAGTGGGAAAAAAAACTTACAAACTATGCATCGACAAAAGACTAATATCCAGAATATACAAAGAACTTAAACAAATCAGCAGGAAAAAAAAAAACAAACAATCCCATTGACAAATGGGCTAAAGACATGAATAGATAATTCTCAAGAGAAGATATACAAATGGCCAAACAACACATGAAAAAATGCTCAGCATCACTAATCATTATGGAAATGCAAATCAAAACTACAATGCGATATCACCTCACTCCTGCAAGAATGGTCATAATAAACAACCAACCAATCAACCCACCCACCCACCAACCAACCAACCAAACAAACAAACCAGAAACAGTAGATGTTGGCATGGATGCAGTGATGAGGGAACACTTCTATACTGATGGTGGGAATGTAAATAAGTATAGTTGCTATGGAAAACGGTGTGGAGATTCTTTAAAGAACTAAAAGTAGAACTACAATTTGATCCAGCAATCCCACTACTGGGTATCTACTCAGAGGAAAAGAAGTCAATATTCAAACGGGATCCTTGCACACGCATGTTTATTGTGGCACAATTTATAGTAGCAAAATCATGGAACCAATACAAATGCCCATCAATCAATGAGTGGATAAAGAAACTGTGAGATATCTATCTATCTATATATAGGATTTATATGTGTGTATATATGTATATATGTGTATATTATGTATATATGTGTATATATACACACATATATACATATATGTGTGTGTGTGTGTATATATATGTGTGTATGTGTATATGTATATACACCCATGGATCAATAAGTGGAGAAAGAACATGTGGTAAATATGCACCATGGAACACTACTCAACTGTAAAGCAGAATGAAATAATGGCCATTGCAGAAGTTGGATACAACTGGAGGTCATTATTCTAAGTAAAGCAACTCAGGAATAAAAACTCAGATGCTGTATGTTCTCATTCATAAGTGGGAGCTAAACCATGAGGATGCAAAGGCATTAAAACGATATAATGAACTTTGGAGACTCGAAGGAAGGGTGGGAGGGGTGACAGATAAAATGTTACATATTGGGTACAGTGTACACTGCTTAGGTGATGGGTGCAGCAAAGTCTCAAAAATCACCGCTAAAGAATGTAACCATGTAATCAAAAACCACCTGGATCCCACAAATTATTGAAACAAAAATACATATAAATATTAGAATACAAATTATTCTACCATAAAGGCACATGCACACGAGTATTCACTGCAGCACTGTTCACAATAGCAAAGACATGAAATCAGCCTAAATGTTCATTAATGACTGACTGAATACAGAAAATGTGGTACATATACACCATGGAATACCGTGCAGCCATAAAAAGAACAAGGTCATGTCTTTTGCGGGAACATAGGTGGAGCTAGAGGCCATTATCCTTAGCAAACTAATGCAGGGCCAGAAAAAAAATACTGTATGTTCTCACTTATAAGTGGGAGCTAAATGATGAGAACTCATAAACACAAAGAAGGGAACAACACAAACAGGGGTCTACTTGAGAGTGGAGGGTGGGAAAAGAGAGAAGAGCAGAAAAAATAACTATTGGGTACTTTGTTTAGTACCTGGGTGATGAAATAATCTGTGCAACTAACACCCATGACAAGGGATTTACCTATATAACAAATTTGCACATGTACACTGGAACTTAAAATAAAAATAGTAAAAATAAATTGAGGAAAAATTTTTAAATTTCTCTTTTATTCCACGTTCTTGGCCCCTCACTTGCAAATAGAGGCCCACATACACCAATGTTTAGTAGTACCACAGATGGCATCCCAGAGGAATAGCAACGCTGTGGGAATTGGACATCAAGGGCAATATTATCACAGAGTATATTTATTCTTTGGGAGCTTTAGCAATAACTGGGAAGACCAAAAGATCTTTGAGATGAGGAAGCTTTAGAGTTCAGAAATGGCTTTCTCCTTCTTGAGCAATGCCCTATTTGCTGGGAGAAGATCATGAATTTGGATTGAGCAGGATGAAGAAAGATGTTGAATAGGTTTCCAGAGGCAATTCAAAAATTGTTAGTTTGAACGTTGGCCCTGGACTCTATGTCATCTCTTTGTATCTGAGATATCATTCCTGGCTACCATGATCACAGAGTAGTAGCTGAATAAAAATGAATGTAGTGAATGGCCCATAGGAAGTGCACTGAGCTGGTGAATATCACTCAAGAAAGGGCAGTCACTGTGTGTTTGCCTAACAGGGCTGGAATTTAGGTCTCTGTTGGTTATTCAAATAAAACGGATGCCAGGCAAGCAGCAAGTAGATATAAACTCCAAGTCATTTTCTGCTCAGGAAGCCAGGGGTTCCAGGATAGGTTTCATCCTCTCAGAGCACAAACTGTATAATTCCACAAGAAATGAATTCCATGCTGGTGATAGGGTCTATGATCCATTATCAAAAAGAGAAGTGATCAAGACTGTGACAGGGAAGGTGTAATGAGGAGAGTGTACCTCATCAGAACACAAGAGTTTCCAGTGAGAGGGCAGGGAATTTTATTCCATCCTGGAATGAAACAAGGAAGAGAGGCATGAAGAGTGTCATTCACTGTGCGTTGGCACCTCAGAGTATCTGGATGTTAGGTTAAATGAGGGGTGAGGAGAGAGACATACTCATGAGAGAGGTTGGAGTTGCAGAAACTGTTGCAATGAACATGGGGAGAGAAAATAATGAACAAAATGACACCTGAGATGGTTCTTGCAAACAAAGAGGCTATTTGGTGGGACTCTCTTCATTCTGGTTTCATTGATTTTTAGGTGATATATTGTTTCTCTTCTTGTAAGTGGTTTTTCATACATGCTATGAAGTAGATAATCACAGCTCTTGTAGTGGGAAAAGGGCTGTCATTCTACCATCTTGGTAGGAACTCCAGAAGCTGAGAATGGAGGGTGAGGACAAGTGCTACAGAGAAACATTCCCAGAGAAAATGAAAATAGGTGTCTGGTTGGTTTCAGTAAAAATATGGATTGCTGTCTATTTTATTTTGCCCCTCTAAAATATATGTGTTCATTGCATTTTTCCTGTCTCTTTCAGTCTTCTTTGATTTGTATAAAGCAGATTTTGTGTCCCTTTGGTGCATATGTTGTGGGAGATTGCAAGTGATAATTTGTAGTCACATCATAGACACCACATCCTGATCAGATAAGATATTGCACTTTACTCTGAGCCTGTTTTTATAATTGTAATGCCTTCCGAAATTTCTTACAGGGTTAGTGTTTTTGGTATACAGGAAGTAGTTGTGAGTGGAACTAGTTGCCAAAGATGGCTCCTCATGACTACAGTCACAATAACCACAGCTTGTGGAGTCCTCTCCTTCTGATTAGGGCTGTCTGTTTGACTCATATTGATCAATGTAAAGCCATAGAAGTGACACTGTCTGCCATTCAAAGGTAGGTCCTATGATGCCATACACCTTCTCCATGAGCCTTTTGGAAGACTTTCTTTGGTGAAAGCCAGTCACCATTTATTAAGTCCCAGAACCATGAGACTCTCATGATTTAAGGAAATCAGTGTCATGAATGGGAAGGTGAGGTAGTGAAGGAGATAGCTCACCAGCTTCTAGGTGTTCACCCAGTCCTGGTGTTGAGTTGGACATGAGTGAAGCATCCTCTGAAATCCCAGCCTCAAAGATCTCTCAGAAAACGTGACTCCCGTCACATGATCTACCACTCACTTAAGTTCAGTAAACCTGTAAAGCTGGGAGAGATAAAAATAAATGATTGCTTTTAGCCAATATGTGTTGTGAGGTTTGCTGTGCTGCAATTCGTCGCTGGAAAAGCAACAAATAAGGGTCTGCTCACTGTGTCAATGTACATGACTTGTGTCTATTCCAATAATAATCTATATGTTCTCTGATCTCAAATCATGACCATTTATTTCCAAAGAGAAACCCCTGGATTCTCCACACATAAAGTGAAACCATCTTCAAATATTTGAAAATAAGAATAATTGGGATTCTTTAAGGGAGATCACTGGGCTCCAGTGATTCTCTAAACTATTACTTGGGTTGAAAACTTCACATGCAAAACTTGTCATCTTTTTTTTTTTTTTTCAGTTCCTTCGTAGCAGCCCACACAAAGCCAGGCACAGTGTTCATACACAGTAAGCATCCTGAGAACAATGGAAAAAATTAAGAAATTTTACATAATTTTCCTCAAGTTACAGATTTCCCCCAAAGCCACCACGTACACCTGTGTGGCTGTAAACAGCTACCTAACATGTAAGCGCCATGAGTCATTTGAGATTGGGTAAGTGTTTTAGTTCAGACTGTCTGACGTCAACTACGTGCTATAGAAGGATGCTGTTTCTAATGTCTTCTCAGACATTCCAGGGACCTTGTCACTCACTCCCTTTGTCACAGGCAGGTTTATCCCCTTTGATTTCCTGATGCCTCCCATAGAATGCCCTGGCCCCCCTTGGGGATGACCACTTCCTCTTTCCCCCTCTTAAAGCAAGAACCAAATCATGTGAGTTTTCGTGCTGTTTTAATGACCAAGTGGAGGGGAAATTGTGAAGAGAAATTATTCTGTTAGCAGGCTCTGGGAATCCCATGGTCAGGTAGAAAGAGGGATTCTTCAACAAGAGGGATTCTTCACATGAGGGAGTGTGATCATCTCCCTCAATTGCAGACACACACTGAGGTCAGGGAGACATCTCTGGACACTTGCATCATCTTCACAAATGATGGCGGGATTCGATGGACAAAGCCATAAATGCGTATGCCATTGACCTTTATCTACAAGAGGAAAAATGCATCAGAAAGACAGCATGCCACCAAACCAGTTTTCAGCCTCCTCTCCACTCTGCCCTACTACCAATAACATTCCCCAAGAAAACCCCTCGTTATACAAGTTAACATATTAGATACACTTCTGTTTACAGATGACATTTTGTGCCTATTTGAGACAGTAGCTGATTTTATTTCTAATGTTTCCACTCATTCCTCTAGTGAAGTTCTAAACTCTGTGTCACAAAGTCTCTGCTTAGTCAGCCTCCCTTCTAACCTGGAAGATCCCCATTGCCAGGGACTGTGTCTCAGGTACTTGAGACCCCGCATCTCACACAGCACTGCCACAGGGTTAGTGCTAGGCCATGTTCATTGAATGCATACTTTTCAGTTCCATGAACTGTGATTGCTTTTCACTACTGATGGCACAGTTTCTCTTTGGAGTAACCTACATCCGAAGTATTAGTGGCAAAGAAGTAAACCCAGTGTTCTTATAGAATGAAAGGAGAACAGATCTTGTAAAACAGGATATTACCTTCAACAACTTCTAAGCATAGGAAAAGATCCCTCGCCTGAATCCGAATAAGATGTGAATGTTTTGGTCTACTCGTTAGAGAAAGCCAGAAAGTATGGATATATTCTTTATATTGAGGCTATGGAGAAAGTCACCTTATTAGTATTAATTTTTCAAATTTGAAATGCACACATTTTTAAAGCCAGTATTTTCATTTTTTTGTAATTATCTTCTAGTGAAAGTATTGGGAGGTTGGTAATGACAAAAGGATTGATTAGAAAACTTAATACAGCGTCATTTGTGAGAGCAAAATACTGGAAAGAAATTTAATGCCCCCAAAAGGGCCAGGTTCAACAATTTTGGGTAAACTTTTTAATGCAATATTATGCAGTCTTTAAAATCTGAAGCAGCATCATAGATTGACAATGTCTTCGAGATATATTCTTTGGCAACAAATCAACTTAGTTCCTGAAGCGTAATGTGTAGAGCAACTTATACCAGGATTTGCTTAAAAACAAATGAAATCATAGACATATCTATATGCTTCCGTAAGCAAAAAATTTCCTCTGAAGGGCTAGGCACAGTGGCTTAAGCCTGTAATCCCAGTATATTGAGAGACCGAGTTGGGCGGATAACTTGAGGTTGGGAATTCAAGACCAGCCTGGCCAAAGTGGTAAACCCCCGTCTCCCCTAAAAATACAAAAATTAGCCAGGTATGCTGGCACGCACCTGTAGTCCCAGCTACTAGGGAGGCTGAGGCAAGATTATTGTTTGGATCCTGGAGGTGGAGGTTGCAGTGAGCTGAGATCATGCCACTGCACTCCAACCTGGACGACAAAATTTTCTGTCTCAAGAAAACAAACAAACAAATAAACAAACAAAAAAAACCCTCTTTGAACGAAAGCAGAGCTCTGATACTGTTTTTCCTATGAGTAGAATTCGGGCCCCAAAATGAGACAAAGACTTAATTTTTGACTGATTTAAACAACTTTTTTTTAAATCTTTTTTTTTTTCTGAAGTATATTGTATTCACTCAACTAAATGAAAATTTAAATAATGGCATAAGTAGAAATGAGCACTATGTGAAAAGACAGAGGAGATTCTCAATGTCCTCTGGGGGGGAAATGTCAGGTGAGCTGACCTTGACATTGGTCAGATTTGGGATAGAGCTGAGGATGGCACTGCAAGCAGGGGGTGTTCTGTGATGAAAACCAGGGGCAGGAGTAGTTATGGGAGGTGGACGCCGAGGGACTGCTGAGGCCAGGTCAATGAGAGCTGCCTCCTGTTTTGGGAACCCACAAAGTCTGGGTGCTGGGAGCTCCTGGGATGCTCACCTCATACTCATTGTAATGCACATAGATACACAGCTCAAACTGTTTGCCATCCTCAAAGGGCACATAATCTGTTGTCTCCTCCAACATCCATATCCCAAACTCACGCCTGTTCATGACCACGTGATTGCCAAAGTGCACTTGGAAACGGAAGGCAATATCTGAGTCCTCATCCATGTCAGTGTAGAAATCCACCTGCAGCTGTGGGTTGTTGCTGAGGGCAAAGCATGCAGAATGTTGGGCAGGTCCCTCCCTTGTGCAGACATACACTAGACATACACACAAATCCCTTCCCCCATTTACCTGGGGAAAACGTCTCCCTGATAATACTGATGGCCAGGTCCCTTGGGGATGCTTCAGCTCCTCGTGCCCCCAGCAGGGAGATTCTGTGCTCCTCATCCCCCGATGAAAACTGAGTCACAGCCACTGACCTTGGCCTATGACTTGTTTATTCCCTGAAAATTCGATGCCCCTTGATAAAGAGCCACAGCCCCAACCCACTGAGTGTCCTCCTTCCCTAGGCCCTGTGGCTGGCCCACATGCAGTTGCTGCAGGTCTCATGCCTGGTGCTGGAGGGACTCCAAGGACCGGCACCTGCATGGGGCTTCCATCCTGCCAGCTAGACATTTTCACATCACCCACACATAAAGTCAAGCCCTCAGCAAATATTCTCCCTTCTTCTCCAACCCCTCCATTGGTCCATGGAGTACTCACATAAAAGAGTCGATCGGTGTCCCTTTGATTATCACGCAGGAACCAACAGACAAAGACACAGGCAGTTTGTATGGCACCTGCCAGAGTATTGAGAGTAAGTGAGAGGTGCAGGGTGAGGTGCAGCCTCCCCTCCTGTAACATATTCCCATGGTGAAGGAGGTTAGAGATGAAAGGGAGGCTCTGTGGACTCTCCCCTTTCAGCCTACCACAGTCAGGGCCCCATATTCCTGAAGATATGGTGGACCCATAGGTAAGAATAAGCATTCAGGAGCCAGGATGCCTGGATTCCGGTCGTCATTCTGCCTTTTACTAGCAGTGCAATCTTAGATTTGTTACTTGAACTCTTCCATCCCCATTTTCCCTAGGACAAGGAGAATGATCAGGAATTTCTACTTTGTAGGATGTTTTCTGTAATAGAGAGTTAATACATGTAAAAGTGTTACCCTAATCCTTGTCATGTGTAGGGCCTCTTAGGGGTGACCTAACAGAACAGGGGAGTCCTCCTGAAACACTGACCTGCCTTCATTCTCAACTCTGAAAATTAAAATAGGACTTGTAAATGTGAGAATGTAAACATTCACTCCAGTGGGAAACAACACTTGTTGAAAGAGAGAGAAATGATGAAAGAACAGGAAACCCTTGGGTGTGGGAGGCAAATGCATTGCAATCATCAAGGGCAATGGATGTCCTTCCCAGAAGGGGCACACATTGCTGCGAGCACAACCGCAGTACTTGCACAAATGAAGCCTGTGGGTCAGGGATGTAACTGGAGGGAATGATTGATTTCTACAACGACTACAAGTGGTTGAGATGATTTTTCTGTACTTTTGAGATAGGTTCTTGCTCTGTCGCCCAAGCTGACATGCAGGGGTGCAATCATGGTTCACTGAAACCTCAAACTCCTGGGCTGCAGTGATCCTCACACATCTGCCCCCTCTTGAATAGCTGGGGAGAAAGGTGCCTGCCACTCTGCCAGTCGAATATTTAAAGTTTTTTAAAGAAAGGGTCTCACCATGATGCCCAAACAGGTCTCAAACTTCGGGCCTCAAGTTATCCTCTCATCTTTGCCTCCAAAATTGGTGGGATTATAGCCATGAGTCAGTGAACCCAGCTGCTTGGTTGATTAATATCCACCATAAGCTCCTTCTGAACTGAGACTTAACTTGTTCTTTCACGGGTGGAGAACAAGTTTAGTCTCCGTTCAGATAGAGCTTACAGTGGATACTTTACGTGATTCAGTCTCTGAAACCATGGCCTCTAATGTCCTTTCCTAGCAAACCAGTATCTGCACACCCTGCTTTCCCACAATGGGAAGAACTGGATGGGCTGGGGACAGGTAAGCTGAGCCTGGAAGACAAGAACAGTGGTCACTCTGTGCAGACCCCACCTGAGAAACCATCGCCCTCATAGTCTGCATTCCTCTTCCCCACTCTTACTGGGAAGAGACATCTACTGACCATACCTTCCGCTCTCATAAGTGATCTGAAACAAGTCCTTGGTAACTCATAATCCCCAAGATCCCCACCAGTTAAGCCACCTGGGATTCACATCAGAGGTGCTGCTGTGTGGGGAGAAACATTCACGTGTGCAGAAAGCCACATGCATGATCCTACTTCAACACACAGTCACATCCCAGCACACACACACACACACACACACACACAGTCACACAGAGCCATGCCACTCACTGAGTCACACACACCTGCTCACGTGCACATAACGATGCTTATGCACTGGTCTGGCTGTGCTCACACACATATCCACATCATAGACAGGAAACAAAGCCCACTCACTCCCTTACTCTCCATTCACACACGTGCTCATCCTGGGGGGTCATCCACCTCCCACTTAAAGTCACATCATCTCAGCAGAGTTTACTCTCATCAGACATCACCTCACGCTCATAGAGGGTCACACTGGTCCAGGGTCCACACCCGAAGCCCCACAAGCATCTCAGATAGCATAGCCTCAGGGTTTCTATTCCACACATCATTAACTCTGAGTAAAGCATTCACAGTAGAAATGCTCATATTTTCTTCTCAGAAAATCTCCCACTTCCTTCTTGGTTTCTGTGACACGAAATTTTTGAAGGCTGTGCCTTTTCAACTCACAGGTAAAGAGGACATTGTTCTCTCCTTCTGGGCGACCTTCAGAATTGAGTCCAGTCTTCTGAGTGAATCTCTGAGTTGCAGCATTTAAATGACTCACTTCAGCCTTGCCCTCTGGCTTCATTCCAGATTCCAAGCTCCTCCCAGCAAGCTTTCCTTGCAACTTGAGAAAGGCTTAGGTGTCAAGAAGAAACTCAGTCACAACCATAGCTATTTGCAGGTCTGTATCTGTAATGCAGCGGAAATGACAGTGGGGGAGGTACCAGGCTGTGGGTTGGGTTACGAGGGAAATGCATAGATAAGGATGATGGAGTGATGGGTAGTGGTTGTAAAGCCCAGCCTTTATGCCTCTCAAGTCTTTTCTCACCTATGCAGAATATACCCAGAAGGTGTACATTTTCCCAATTTGTACAATGGCTAAAAAAAAAGTTGGAGATTTTGGGGAAATACATTTGCTCTAGAAGGTAATGATTCTGTATGCTTTTAAATGTTCTGGTAAAGCAGTGACTCTGTGGAGAGAAGTAGATAAATTTCTTGCATGAACCTATTCCACACTAGGCTGCTTGGCTCTGCCAGGTGAGGGCCACTCTTACCTGACTGTCACACACCTGGACTCTAGCTATACCTTCCCTTTCTCTTGGTGTTCATGTAAATAAAAGTTTCAGAGACACTGTTTCTCCTGCAGATTGTGGGAGGAAGGTGAGATTGTGGCTCTTGTTTGATTTTTCTTTCCTTTTATTTTAGGTTCAGGGGTACATATGCAGGTACACTCGTGTCATGGGGTTTGTGGTACATATGATTTCTTCACCTGGGTACTAAGCGTAGTACTCAAGAGTTATTTTTTTTGTCCCTCTCCCACCTTTCACCCTCCACTCTCAAGTAGGCCCCAGTATGTGTTATTTCCCTCTTGGTGTCCATGAGTCTCATCATTTAGTTCACACTGATAAGTGAGAACATGCAGTATTTGGTTTCCTGTTCCTGCATTAGTTTGCTAACAATAATGGCCTCCAGCTCCATCCATGTTTCTGCAAAAGACATAATATCATTCTTTTTTAGGACCGCATAGTATTCCATTGTGTACATGTACCACATTTTCTGTATCCAATCTGTTGTTGATTGGCATTTGTGTTCATTCCGTGTCTTTGCTCTTGTTCATAGTGTTGAAATGAACATTCATGTGCCTATGTCTTTATGGCAGAATGATTTCTATTCTTCTGGGTATATACTCAGTGATGGGATTGCTGGGTTGAACGGTAGTTCTGTTGTTAGCTCTTTGAGGAATCACCACACTGCTTTCCACAATGGGTTAACTAATTTACACTGCCACCAACAATGTTTGAGTTCTCCCTTTTCTCCACAACCTTGCCAGCATCTGTTCTTTTTTGACTTTTTAATAACAGCCATTCTGACTGGTGTGAGATGGTATCTCATTGTGGTTTTGATTTGCATTTCTCTAATGTTCAGTGATATTGACCTTTTTTATCTGCTTGTTGGCCACCTGTATGTTTACTTTTGAAAAGTGTCTCTTGTCCTTTGCTCACCTTTTTTGTTTTAAAACAGGTCTTACTCTGATGCTCAGGTTGGAGTGATGTGGCACCATCTTGGCTCACTGTAACCTCTGGCTCCTAGGCTCAGGTGATTTTTCTCAGCTCAGTCTCTTGAGTAGCTGGGACTACAGGTGCGTGTCACCATGCTAGGCTAATTTTTTTCTATTTTTGGTAGAGATAGGTTTTTGCCATGTTACCCAGCCTGTTCTCAAATTCCTGGACTCAAGTGATCCACCAGCCTTAGTTGCCTGAAGTTCTGGGATTACAGGCATGAGCCACTGTGTTGAGCTCATTACCCACTTTTTTATGGGTTTGTTTGTTTCTTTCTTGTAAAGTTGTTGACATTTCTTATAGATGCTCAGATATTAGACCTTCTTCAGATACATAGTTTGAAAATATTTTCTCCCATTCTTTAGGCTGTCTGTTTACTCTCTTGATAGTTTCCTTCACTGTGCGAAGCTCTTTAGTTTAATTAGATTCTGTTTGTTGATTTTTGCTTTTCTCCTAACTGCCTTTGACATCTTCATCATGAAATCTTTGCTCATGCCTATGTCCTGCATGGTATTGTCTAGGTTGTCTTCCAGGATCTTTATAGTTTTGGGTTTTACATTTAAGTCTTTAATCCATCTTTTGTATATGGTATAAAGAAGTGGTCCAGTTTCAGTCTTCTGTATATGGCTAGCCAGTTCTCCCAGCACCATTTCTTGGATAGGGAGTTCTTTTTCCATTGCTTGTTTGGTCAGCTTTGTCAAAGATCAGATAGTTGTAAGTGTGTAGCCTTATTTTGGGCTCTCCAATCTGTTCCATTGGTCTGTGTGTCTGTTTTCATACCAATACCATGCTGTTTTGGTTACTGTAGCCTTGTAATACATTTTCAAGTTGGGTAATTTGATGCCTCCAGTTTTGTTCTTTTTGCTTAGAATTGACTCGGTTATTTGGCTTTTTTTTTTTTTTTTTGATTCCGTGTGAATTTTAAAATGGTATTTCCTCTAATTCTGTGAAGACTGTCATTCATAGTTTGATACAAATAGCGTTGCATCTGTATATTTCTTTGGGCACTATGGCTGTTTTAATGATATTGATTTTTCTTATCCATAAACATGGAATGTTTTTCTATCTTTGTGTCATCTCTGGTTTCCTTGAGCAGTGTTTTGTAATTCTCATTGTAAATGATCTTTTACCTCCCTGATTAGCTGTATTTTTAGGTTATTTTTTAAGGCAAATTTGAATGGAATTGCATTCCTGATTTGTCCCTACCTGTAACTGTTGTTAGCATATAGGAGTTCTAGTGATTTTTGCATATTGATTTTGTATCCTGAAACTTTGCTAAAGTTATTTATCAGCTTAAGGATCTTTTAGGTAAAGACTATGGAGCTTTCTAGATATACAATGATGACATCCGCAAACAAGGATGGTTTGACCTTTCTTTGTATTTAGACACCCTTTCTTCCTCTCTCTTGCGTGATTGCTCTGGTCAGGCCTTCCAATATTATGTTAAACAGAAGTGAGGAGAGAGGGCACTGAAGAAATTGTGGTTTGAAAATCCTAGTTTGGCCGGGCGCAGTGGCTCAAGCCTGTAATCCCAGCACTTTGAGAGGCCGAGACGGGTGGATCACGAGGTCAGGAGATGAGACCATCCTGGCTAACACAGTGAAACCCCGTCTCTACTAAAAAATACAAAAAACTAGCCGGGCGAGGTCGTGGGCGCCTGTAGTCCCAGCTACTCAGGAGGCTGAGACAGGAGAATGGCATAAACCCGGGAGGCAGAGCTTGCAGTGAGCTGAGATCTGGCCACTGCACTCCAGCCTGGGCAACAGAGTGAGACTCCGTCTCAAAAAAAAAAAAGAAAGAAAAGAAAAAAGAAAAAAAAAATCCTAGTTTAATTTATGCCTTATTCATCATGGAGATTTTGTCTATTGTCTATCAAATACAAAAGAAAACCAAACTAAATTCCTCTCTTACTCTGTCATATTGGCCCCTCACTTGCAAATACAGGGCCTAATGCACCAATGTTCAGCACCACGGACAGCGCCACAGGGGACACAGCTTTGAGGGTCTTGGGCACCAAGGACAATATTATCACCGAGTAGATTTATTCTGTGGGAGGCTTCAACAAAAACTAAAAAGCCTAAATACCTTTGAGAATGAAGGCTTTAGAGTCCAATAATGACTTTCTGTGTTTTGAGCAATGCTGTATTTGCTGGGAGAAGATCAGGAATTTTGGTTGAGGAGTATGAAAATGATGTTGAGTAGGTCTCCAGAGGCAATTCAAAAATTTTTTGTCGAACATTGGTCCCTGAACTCTATGTCATCTCTTTGTATCTGAGATTTCGTCCTGCCCACCATGAGCAAAAGGTATTATCTGAGATAAAAATGAGTGTAACAGATGACCCATGTGAGCTGAAATGATAAAGGGGATATCACCACCGACCCCACAGAAATACAAACTACCATCAGAGAATACTGTAAACACCTCTATGCAAATAAACTAGAAAATCTAGAAGAAATGGATAATTTCCTGGACACTTACACTCTCCCAAGACTAAACCAGGAAGAAGCTGAATCCCTGAATAGACAAATAGCAGGCTC